TGTTTATTTAATTCTAACTTCACTTTCACATTTAAGTTATAAAAAATAAAAATAACCCTTTAAATGTATAAATAATATTATCTATAATTAATTTTTAAATTTTTATTAGCAAATTCATACTCATACACACAATGTAAATATAATTTGTAAATTTATAATAAAAAATAATTTCAAAAATATTTACTTCAAAATTAAGATTAAAAATATATTTAAATTAATAAATAGTTTAAATTTTATTTCAATTTTTAGAATTATTATGTGCTTAATAAATCAGGATGATAACCGAAATATATAAAAGTTTATATCTTATATTTTATAATATGTGGCAAATATATATAAAAGAAAAATCACATATTTTTTATATGAAGGTTATGTCATGAACATAATTTTTATATGGTTACTTGTTTATTACTTTCAATAAATATTTGGGCTGTTTGTACAATAGCTTTTAAAAAATTAAAATTCTCATAATAATTTTACACTCATTTTTTCACGAAGTTGAAGTCATCTTAAATAGATGGAAAAATAAAAAATAGAGAACAAGAAGGGCTAACCCAATTTAAAATTTTATTAATACGAGTATTTGATTATAATTATCTACTTTTAGTGATTATGCTCTCTCTTCTTCTATTTTCTCAATGTCCTATAAGTTGCTCATAGGGGTGCTAAGGGACTGGATCCAGGTCCAACTCGAAATTGACTAGATTCAAATTCAATTAAATCAAATTAGACCCATTTAATAAATGTGTCAAGATGAACCCAAACTTGACCCACCAGCAACCCAGACGATCCCAACTTGAATCTGACCTGTTAAACTATTTTAGTTAAAAATTATTTATTATAACTTATCAAATATAGAATCCAGGTAAACTGATTAAAAATAAGTAGATCATACCCACAAAAAATGAATGACAAAAATATTAAATAAGTAATTCTCAAATCGAAAGTGGGTCTGCGGGTCAACCCGAATCCAACCCTTCTAAAAAATGAGTCAAATTTTCAAACAGAACTTGACCCATTTATTAAATAGATTTATTGAGGTATGAGTCAAATGATTTGTTTGAAATCATCTCTGCTTTGAGATCAATCAAACAATTTTCATTAAGAAATGGGTGAAATGCTCAAGGTTTGAAATCCCACTACCACCTTGCCATCAAATAAATGATAGACAAAAGGGTTTTGCAACAAGGGTTTGCGGCCAAAGTTTAATATATGAGATCACAACTACCACCAACATCAAGCGATCAATGCATAGAGGTGTTCTAGGTTTAGGGTTTGATGTTCAAGATCTCCATTGTTGCTTCATTGAAGAAGGGTTTTTTTTCTTTTTTGTAGCTTGGAAGTCCAAAATTGTATCACTACCCTAATGTCAAATGAATGACACATAGAAGGGTTTAGGTTGAAAGTCAAGCATATAAGGTTGATACTATCACACCATTGACATATACTCCTGAATAGCTCAATAAAATTCATGTTCGGTTGACACTATCACACCATAGGGTGTAAGTTGACAGTATCACACCATTGACTTGGAATCACTAAATCAATCTATAGGTAACATAAATCCTCATGATTGTGTTAAAAGGTAAGGAAGACAACATTGTGGTAGACAAACTTCACTTTATGTCTTGCAATGAAACACTTTCTGATAAAAATATGTTTTTGTTTTGAAAATGAGTGTTAATGCCACCCAGCTTAGCTTATTGCTTGGGGGCTTAAATTGTTGACAAATAGTTCTCTGCTTCGAGGCCTTGCATTTATAGTGTGCGTAATTTTGTGATTAAATTCACTCAAAATTATAAAATAATATTATTGCCCTCTCCAAAAGAATCGATATAAAAATTAAGCTCGGGATTGCTTGATCTAGGTGGCTCGATCGAATTAGCAAATATTTTAATGCACTTTTAAATGAAATTATGTAAAAGGGCCTCATAAATAAAATAAAATTTTCTTTTGTATAGGGTTGTCTCAGTTTTAAAGAATTTGAAATTAACCATCTAGTTAAATTTTAATGTTTTAAGAAATCATTATATTTAGTTGATTTTTATATACACTATAAATTATCTACCATTACGACTGCTAGCTAACACTGCTACTAAAAGTTTAATAGTTGTTTGTGAAATTAATTGAATTACTTTCCAGGACACAACTTCTACTAATCTTAATGCTCTTCATATTAGGTTAAAGGAATATGTTGGTTTTAGTTTTAAATTCTTATGGATTGAAATTGATTATGAGAAATTGGTGGAGATTATTACTCAGGATAACATGGTGAATTATAATAACTTTTATGTTTTTCAACATATTAAACTCTTGATTGGAAAATTTATTTATATGATTTATATCATTTTGAAAGCTAGTAATGCTTGCGCTGTTTGGTTGGCTAAGACTAGATTTAAAAGCTGTGTTGTATTATCGTATTCTCAGGCTAATGCACCTCATTTGATGAAAGGTAGAGTGTTATTGGATGTTGTTGGTTTTCCTTATATTTACTAATTGTGTTCTGCTGCTGTATTATATTATGATGGCTAAGTTCTATTTTGATGATCCTGTGAATTTTCCTTCTCTGTGCTTCTTATTGAAAGCTGGGTTGACTGGTTTCTCACCTACTCTATTTGATTCTATATGCTTATTGCAATGCTCTCTTTGTTCTTATGTGGATCTTAATTTGTTTTATTTATTTATAAGCTAAGTAAGATTAAGATACTATGTTAATTATGGTTTCCTTTTGAATGATGTTGGATTCCCTATCGTTTGCTAATTGTGGATGTATCTTGCCTTATTTTCTTTTATGTTCGTTCTGCATGCTCTCTGTTGCAATCATCTTCCCGTGTTTTGGTGGGCATTCCATCTCATCATCATATTGCTTGCTGGTAGGGCTGTTAAAATTGGGTCACGGGTCGGGTTTGGGTCCAACCCGAAACTAACCTGGCAATGTTCGGGTCAACCCGAACCCAATCGACATAGTTCGCTCTTCGACGACATTCCCTTCCAGTCGAAATCAGAAGTTACAACATTTTGATCGGAAGCAATGACGGGATTTCGCTCGCCGTGAAGAAAACCTATTCCCTTTCGTGCGTTGTTTAACTTCTCATAGTGGCGGAGCTACGAATTTTTATCTGCGGGGCACAAAGTTTTGAGTTTAAAAATATCCTCAAGTTTTTTCATTTTAGCTTGAAATTGATATTATTGTTTTAATTTTTTTTTTTAAAATTATAAGAAGATAAATTCCATGATAAGAAAAAGACTTATCGTCATGCTCATATAAATTAATTTCAACACAAATTTATTTAAATTATATATTATCATACTAATTTATTTCAACTACTCTTCTACCGTATATTTTCATTCTAATTTAATTAAAAATATAACTAAAAAATATTTTAAAAATAATAAATATATAAAAAAACTACATCTTATTATTATAAAAGTATATCAAAAATATATAAAAATGTATAATACACATAGTTTAAGCCACTTGATTTAAATTAAAATATTATAATTCTCCTATAATGTAATTTGTTGGCTTTAATTACATAAATCTCCTATAAATTAGAATTTGAGCTTTTAAAATATAAAAAAAAATTTGATAAAATTTTTAATTAAAAAAAACTAGTAATGTGAAGATGGAGACATGTGCCCCCTGGGCTCCCCCTAAATCCGCCCATGACTTCGCTCCTTGGACGACGTTCCCTTCCAATCGGGTCGGAAGTTCCAACATTTTGATCGGAAGCAACCAGGGGAGTTCGCTCGTTGTGAAGGAAACTTTCTCTAGTGCGCTGTTCGGCTTCGCTCCTTGGATGACGTTCCCTTCCATTTGGATCGAAAGTTACAACATTTTGATCGGAAGCAATGAGGAGAGTTCGCTCGCTGTGAAGGAAACTTTCTCCCTTTCTTGCGCTGTTCGACTTCGCTCCTTGGAGGACTTTCCCTTCCATTCGAATCGGAAGTTACAACATTTTGATAGGAAGCATTGAAGCAACGAGGGGAGTTCGCTCACTGTGAAAGAAACTTTCTCCCTTTCGTGTGCTGTTCGACTTTGCGCCTTTAACGATGTTCCCTTCCATTCGGATTGGGAGTTACAACATTTTGATCGGAAGCAACGAGGGGAGTTTGCTCACTGTGAAGGAAAGTTTCTCCCTTTTGTGCGCTTTTTCGTTCGGGTTCGGATTCCTTGCTGGATGTCGGGTCAAAATCGGGTTTCCTGGTAAACCCGAACCCAACCCGGAATTTCAAACTGGTCGAAAATCAAGCCCCGAACCTGACCAGTTTCAGGTTCGGGTTGACCCGGACCCGAAATTTTCATGTCGGGTTCGTGTTGAGTTTTTGGGTCATGTCCAATATTGACACACCTACTTCCTGGTGTGGTTGTTTGCTATTTTTTTCTCTGTTCTCAAATTTCTTCCTTTCTAATTGTTGTCTTGTGTTGTTTGTGGATCTCTGTGTTGAATCTATGGATTACTCATGGGTTCCAATTTCTTCTACTCTGGTCCGAGGTTTACTGTTTCATTTTATTACTGAGTGCCATTTCCTTTGTTGTTCTCTGTTCCTATGCATTGCCATTATTATGTTATAATTTTTGCTATGCTCTTGCTTGCTTTGCTTTCTTGTTGCAGGAATAAATTTTTACAGCAATCGTTGGTTTTTCAAGATCCTACAATTCTTGATCTTCTTTTTAGGGTAATGGCTCCCGGCCTCCCTAGATATTTTTATAGGTATTTTTTTTCTGATGGTAATTAGGTGGGATCTCTCGCTCTCATGTTTTAATTTTTCCTCTTAATTTTTGTCTAGTGAGCAGTAGCGAGGATTAAGGATTTTAAAGAAAAAAAATTTAATAACAGAAGTAACTTTCGAAAGCTCGAAGTGGGTCTCCGTTCGGGTCGGATGCGCAAGGAATCAGGGCGGTCCCAATCTGATGAGGAGTGGCATTTTCTCTGCACGTGTCGCTCTCGACCCGGCTTTCTTCTGAACCCAGCCGCGCTTCCATCCCCCCCATCTCTTCCACATCCATCACGTGACCGCCGCGGATAATAATAATGTCCTCTCCCTCTCTCTCCACCTCCACGCCATGCCAAGCCAACAGACAAAACCCGATCTTGCCGATGTTAGAGAGAGAGTGTGCGCGCGTGTGAGAAATGAAGAAAGCAGAGCTGCTTAGCTTTTAGCTGCTGCAGGAGAGGTCAGGCGGCAGAGCAGGAGCAGAACAGAAATCAGAAAAAGGGAGCAGGAGAGAGAGAGGGGAAAAAGGAATAGAAGGGAGAGAGCTAGCGAGAAGATCGCCAAGGAATTTCATAGTTTTCCAGATCGATCAGTCGCCACCCACTATTTCCCCTCTCCTCCAATCAGATCTCCAAGCTCTTCTTTTTTTAAATGATTTTTGACAGGCGCGCTGCGCTCATAGGTAATCGTAGAGTTTAGAATAGGACTGAGAAAGGGAGGGAGAGAGGAGAGAGAGGAGTACATAAAGCGGCGCAGATCTCGCTAATTGAACCGGCGTGGTGGCTTCGGGAAAGCGATTCCCATCGGACAACGGAGCTTTCGCGGACTGGGTGGCATCCTCCGCTTCCGCGAGGGGGGATGATCTCTGTCTCGGCTTCAATGCTGGAGGCGGAGCCTCCGCCGCCGCAAGTGGCGGCGGAGGAGCAGGATTATGGGCGGCGCCGAGCTCTTCGGCGGCTGGCCGACAGACAGTCAACTACGGCATAGCAGAGATGGTTGGCCTTCGCGACGTCTACGTAGTGGGCCCTGCCACGTCCTTCCACCCAGCGGCGGTGGCGGCGCACCACGAACCGTTCCACTCAAGCGCGGAGGCCCACTCGGTCATCCCCCGCCTTACCGCCGCTTCCTACCTCGTCGACGATGACTCCTCCCGCTCATCCAAGATCCAGTTCTGGCAATCCCAGCCGCTTATTGCTTCACCTCAACCGCCTGCGCCTACTCAAAACCCTAACCCTAGTTCCACTACATCCTACTTTCAGAAACCCTCATCAGTACTGGAGTCATCCGGCATCCTCTTTGTAGCTGGGGGACCCTCCACTTGCCAAGACTGCGGCAACCAGGCCAAGAAGGATTGCAGTCACCGCCGATGCCGCACATGCTGCAAAAGCCGCGGCTTTGATTGCTCGACCCACATCAGAAGCACCTGGGTTTCAGCCGCGCGCCGGCGTGAGCGCCACCTCATCGCTTCCGAATCCGCCAACGCCGCCTCCTCCCCTCCCACCTCAGTTCTAAAGAAGCCCCGTCTCTTATCTTCTCATACAACCACCACTTCCCACGCGTCTAACTCCAACACTACTCCCCCTCGTAGCTTCGACACCGGCTCAAGCCACCAGGGCGACTACCTCGTACCGCTATATAAAAATCATTTCTTGTCTTCTTTCTTCAACTTTATCTCAAAGCTTGTTTTTTTTTTTTCAGATCCGAGCTTCCGGGAGAACTTACCAGGGCACGTGCGAGCGCCGGCTGTGTTTAAGTGTGTGAGAGTTACATCCATCGATGACGGAGAAGACGAGTATGCTTATCATGCGAAGGTGAATATCGGAGGCCACGTCTTTAAGGGATTTCTTTACAACCAAGGCTTCGATGAAGGAATTTGCACCGACCTCACCGGAACATCTACGGCAGCTGATGTTGAGAATAATAATGTCAACAATACAAGCAACGCTATTCCCAACTTCTCGGAACTCCATCTTGGTGGCGGCGGTGTACGGAACGTACCTCACTCCGACATGTACGGCTTGGGTGGACTGCTGGGTGGCGCAGCGTTTGGTAACGCAATAAATTGAACTTTTTTCTCTCGCACGAGTAATGGAGTTTGCTTGCTTCATTCTTAGTGTAATTTGTAGGCGGCGATATTGGTTCATCTGGCTCAGTCTGCAACTGCTTTCTTCCTTCTTTATTATTATTAATTCTGAATAACAGCTGGCTAGAAAAACTGCTTTTATTCTCTCCTGCTCTTCATATTTTTGCAAATGGAACTATTGCTGGATTAAATAAATGATTACTTGTTTAAACCTGCATGAGCTGCTCGATTTATGTCACCTTTTTCATGTGATATTGCTGTTTGTTTGACTGACAGGCGCTCTCTTTTGAACTTCTCCGTAATGATTGTTATATTCTTTGACTATGTTAGATTTGAGGAAGAATATTTCAACGAATACTATTTATTTTATTCAGCGATTGCACTTGTATGGGGAAGTGCTATAAACGCCGAAAATTATATGACAAAATGATAATCGAAAGTCAAAACTACAATTGTCTTTCGCTTTGTTACTGAATACATGTTTATAGTTTTTAAAAGGAACCGTTGAACTTTGTGTTTTTGACCATGATGCATTTAAATTATATAAAATTAACAATCATTGAAAATAAAAGTTGATTGTTGAGTGATTATTATAAATAGAAATTTTCAAAAATAATATTTTTTTTTTAAATATTTAGAATTTTGATGTTACACAAGAGATTACCCCTATACATATAAAGTAATATTGGCTCCACTGGAATGTATTTGCCATGACTCGAGATTTTATAAATGTTTTCTTGTTGTACAGCATGTCCTTGGAACTTGTATCATTGATCGCAACTTTTGTTTGGTGTAGTGAAGACCTTACAAGGCCTTTAAGAAAACTTGCCAGCTTTACTCTCTACACAGTCCATACTCTTAAGTACGGCGGAGGATTTAATTTCTTCTTTTCTGAGGGGGCTCAGTTGCCTTATTTATTGTGTCATTTAGGAGTGATAGAGTTTATGAAATTATGTTTGATAATGTCATGCATTTTGCCTTTTATTCATACCGGGCTTTGTCTGCATTTACTTGTGTTGGAATGTCTATTTAGACCATCCGTAATCGGAAAGCATACATGCAATAGCCGTGCCAAATGATCCAACCGAACGCATTGTCTCCCGCTATTCTCTGGGAGAGAGCAGGGCGATGTCAATATTGGTTGACGTCGCATAAACATGTTATTTTTTCTGCATGTTTGGGATTTGTCGAGAAAGTGCACGAAAGAGGAGAAAGACGGTTACTTTTGGCAGCGAGATGAAGAAGCATATGAAATTAAGTTCGATTGGAGACGAATTACCTTATTTTGGATTTTTAATGTATTTTGGAGTGGAAAGTGGGTTTTTCGGTTGGAGATGCCCTTAGTGGCAATTCCTTACTTGGTTATGCATTTGTAGTTTTTCATCAGCTTTTGCTTTATTAATGTTGTAGCCTGCAATGATTTATTTATTGTGGTTTTGATTTTTTAAGTAGTTACGTTGGTTGATTGCATTTGTTTAATATTAAATTGTTGATTCTTAGTTTGTCTTACTGTTCCTAAAGGCTTGATATACTCCATTTGTTTCTTACTTGATTTAGTTAAATGCCAGTTTATGAAGTTTAAAAGTAGCTGTGATTTCATTTCCTCACTACAAATATTCTCAGTATTGTCCTTTTTCTGAGACTTTCTGATAGTAATATTTTAGTATAGTGCCTGAACATGTATGTTGACTTTAATTTTATTCAAAATAAATAGAATAGTAAGGTTTAAGAGATCTTTTTTTATTGAGAATTTTCAACATCTTCACATCCTAGATTCTAACAAAGCTGAATTCAAAATTTTAGTTGTCTTTATTATTTTGTTCCTAGCGAACAAGATATCCTTTACTAATTATGTACATGCAGCCATGAACTGTGATTTGAAGCAAACTGCATTTATCGTCTACCATTTCTGAGCTTTGTAAGCAGTCTTGTTTCTGTTTTCTTCTATGATAATTTTTTTTTTCTTCGATGGGTTTGTAATTTCTACCAGGAAGACAATTGCGAATGATTTTTTGTTTTCGTTATATTATGTGTTAATGGTTTTTATTATCTGTCGTCCTGCATTCTGCTTGCCTTTGGGTTTTTGGTCATACCTGTAGCATACTTTTTAATCTTCAATTTTCTATGTTTTATACTTATAACGACTTTTTTATTATGTTAGTGTAGAATTAGTTGTTAACAAGGAGATGAGCCACACCAACAAAGCCAAAAAAATGAGTGTGGCCGATCCAATAGCAATATATTCTAAGTAAAGAAAAATGAGCCACACCAACAAAGCCGGAAAAAACTGAGTGTGGGAGGAACATCTAAATGGAGCTGGGATCTTACTCTTCAGCTGGAATCATCTTGTTACCAACCAATTTTTCTGGTTTCCTGCCAAATATTTCGGTTGAAAAATAGTTTTTTTTTTCTTTCTTTTGTATGGTACTAAATTTCCAACGTTATCTTCAAAGTTTTGCAGGAGGAAACTTCTAATTTTGAGAAGTCCGCTCACCGTAGTCGAAGTCTTAAATCCTTGGTACTAAAATTCATATAAAGTCATTACTTCACGTTTCTTTCATCGTTAAGAAGCACATCATTAAGCTTTTCGGTTGTTTTGTCATCTTAACCTTCAGTGTCTTTTATTTTCTCGTCTCTATTGTGAATGATTGTTAAGCATATCACAATGACCGTGTTTGCTTAGTTGCTCTAACGTTAATTAGCTACTTTTCGTAATACTTGAATGAGATTTTTATTTACTTTTTGTGGTTGAGGAGGATCCATTCAATGCACTAACACAAAATGCCTGTCTAAGAATTCACCGTGTGTGTGCACTTGCCCTTCGTCTTCATTTAATACGTAGCTCATCTTTACCTATTGGTTGGAGTTTTGGCTATCAATTAAGAGTAGGATTTCTACTTTTATGTATGTGAGTTTGTCTTAATTGACTTAAATTTCTAAAAAAAATCATCTTTATTTCATTCATATTTGATTTCTTTAAAGTTTTTCACAATGACATGGAAGAGGGGACAAGATCTTTCATGCCAATTGTACATTTATAGTATAACTTGATATAATTTGTTACCTCGGCTTTGTTGGTTGGTTCGATGATGTTGTATGCATGAATTATACTTTTAGGTCTAATAAACCATTAAAAATTAGGTTAACTGCAATAGAAATGAGAATAAAAAGATGGATCTAAGAAAGTTATATAGGATAAAACAATATTATATTATGGCAATTATTAAGAAGGTAAATAGTTTGGACATATAGAACAAATTGTAGACAATGCACCCCTTGGACTGGTAGATGAAATTAGAGTTGATGCATTAAGTGGGAGATTTGGTAGACATGTAATCATTTGGATAGATGTTCAAAATGATTTTGCGAGGAACACTCATAGCACCTCAACATAATTAATTCCTATGTTGGAATAGATAATGAGGATTCCTAAAATCAATTCCAAATAATTAGATTAGGCTAAATATGATAATCATAACAATGATAAACCACATGCATTAAGAGACAAATCACAATTATAACACTTCGTTTGGGACTGCTTTTTTACTGCTACTTAAAGCAGCTTTTTAGTTGAAAATTTGCTTTAAAAATTTGCTTTAAGAAGCAGGAACAAAATCAAAGTCATCACAAATAAAATCTAAATTTTTTGTCACTCTTCTTATAGAATTGCCACACCTAAAGGCATGACAACTCTTGTAAGGGTGAGATAGAGCATTCGACAATATCCATTAAACAAGCCTGTATGACCATAGCTTAACGTGAAAAATCTTGTTGTAGCATTGCGCATGGTAGCTTTCATTAAAAACCTCAATTATTACTGATGCTTTTGGTTTGATTCTCCAACGGTTAGGTGTTTCTATTATTTTGTTGTACTTTCTTCACATGCAGAAAAAATGTGGGTGTCTGACATTATGGCCATGTTGTCGATGTTGTAATTTGCTGCAAAAAAACTTACTATATATAATGATGGGAGCATTATGTTACTGCTTTGTTGCGTGTTGCTTCACCTATAACTTCGCAAGTTTTTCCTTCTTCTTTCGTGTCGAGGGCCTCTTCAAGAATATATTGTTGGTTTGTCTTAGGTTCTTCTATTTGGCCCATTCTACCAAGAAGAGAAACAGACAAAATGGTGAATTTCTAGGAAGTGTTCAGTTGATTCAGTCTGAAACTTAAAAACTTGTTTTCCAGCAGATGGATGATCATACTTTTAGATGCATGGAGGGTTATAAGTGCCATTTTATGACCTTGAATGGCTTGATATTGAAATTCTGAGTTTGCAGTTTTCTCTGCTAGTTTGATTGGATTTATATATATACATACCATTTTGTATCATATTATTTACATATATATATATATATAACGTATAAAATTTAATATTTCATGCTTACTATCTTTAAATAATTTTAATGCCAAATATGATAGTCTTATATTTTATTCCTAAAATTCATATACGGGCGGAACCAACCTTAATTTATTGTTGGTGTTGTCTAGAATTTAGCTTAACCCTTTACTATTAGAAAATGGGTCAATATCAATCTCTATTTGTTCATATCCTTGATTGTTGTATGTTTTGTAGATATATCGAGGGTTAAGGGGCAGCTCATTTGCAGATTCCTGAAACAAATTGTGATTGTAATGATATTTTTGGAATTCCAATGAATAACTAAAGTAATGAATTATATTTACTATTTGTTGGAGGCAATTGTATAAAGATTATAGTATTTTAAAACTTTTAAGGGAGGGGTAAGGGTTAATTGCTTAAAATTTTTTGTAATAAAGATAAAAAAATAGATAGATGACAAATTATCTAAAAAATAATATAATGATTTTTTTAGGCAAGGCAGTTGCCCTCCTGAACAAATTTTATTAATTTTGTTTGTGCACCCATCTCCTAACATAAAGGAGGTTTCATAAAGGAGGCTTCGCTTGGCTTTGAATTGCGACTATGATCTTTTACACATTTGGATGAAGGAATTCGTCTAGACTATTGGTAAAGTTTATAAGACCGCGACTGATCCTGAAAGGTAATTAATTTTGTTTGTGCACCCATCTCCTAACATAAAGGAGGTTTCGCTCTTGCAATCATAGTACATTACAAATTTTTTTAGTTCTTTTTTGTGCACCCATATTTGATTTATGGATGATAATTAATAAATATGAAATTTTAAAATTTTGAGGGTTATATATATAAATGATATGATATAATGTGGT